TTACATTTGATTAAAAAACGTCAAAGGTCTAACTTTGGTGTTTTGGCTTAGTGCAGAAATACTACAGTTCATAATCTGGACGAATCTAGTTTCGAAACTACGAGTAACGGATCCTGACGAAACTATGGGAGGCAACTCTACACACAGATTTTGGCGTCTACGACAAATTGGCCACCCGTGTCCCTCGACGTAATCTAGGTGTGATGTGTAATACAGTATCATTTATTACCAGCTAATCTATGTGTCACTACTGTGGGCTACAAAGTGACCCATCCAAAATGAGCAATGTAAGATTTACAGCGCACTACTACACCAAAGGACCGCCACCGTGTGTAATGGGTAGAGCGTCTGCCCGGAGAGCGGAAGGTCGGGGGTTGGATCCCCGGCCGCGTCATACCAGAAGACGTTAAACGATGGTAATTGTAGTTAATCTGTCTGGTACTCGGGGCTAAAACGAGGACTGGTGGATTCAGATCAGTATAGTGTGTCTGCGGGATGTCTAGCACTATCAGTCCGAACAATTGCATGCATGTCGCGTTATATAAGTGCAATAATCTTGGACGCGACGTTAAATCCCATTTCACCTCACCTCAACAAATCCCCTTTCACCTCACCTCAACTCAGACTGGATAATTCCTACATACCAACAAGAAGGCATCTTCCCGAGGCAAGGGCGTTAACTGACTATAAAAGTCCAACTTCCACCCTTGCCGAACTAGGCTGGAATTACGGAGTGACATTTTGCCTGGACTAACGAGTCTATGCATAGTCCAATAAAACGAGCTAGACATCTTGTTCAAGCATCATTAATTTCGACTGCAGGTTTTGTAAAGAGTGCGTACAGCCAACAGGGCGTCGACAAATATTTCGTCAATCTTTTCATGTTTTGAATCAAGATGCTCAAGTGATTTGATGCACTTTGCGGTAAGACCCGTTTTATCACAATATAGATCTTGATTATCGAGCAGATCGTCTTGACTGGGCGCCGCCATTTTGTTTGAAGCTAATGCAAGTGATATGTGAGATGGAATCTGATTGGTCAGTAGGAGGGATATAACTCGTATTATAGCTAAAATGGATAGAATTATCATTAAAACGCCGGCATGTTATCAGAAATGAGCGGGCCACTGTAACTGGATAATGCCCTCATATTACTTGACGACGGGCCATTATCACGCCCGTTGTTAGGTGACGTCATAGGATAGGGATACGTAACGTCACGTTCAATAGTGACGTCATCTGGTTTGTTCTATGACGTTTCCTTATTTGTTAAAGTGGGTCAGTGACATTCGTGTTAATTGCAGTAAATGTTTCAAAACCGATATTGTTGTTTATTTTTATTTGATAACAAATTCCATCCATTTTAGCTGTAATAACGGTAACGCTATTTTTCAGGGCATTATCGGTTGCAGAAGCCCTCGGCCTTTTCAACTGCCCTCCTTCGTGGGGCAGTTAATGGAGGTGAAGGTGAGGTGAAATGGGGTTTAACGTCGCGTCCAAGATTATTGCACTTATATAGCGACGTGCATGCAAATGTGTGTGTGTGTGTGTGTGGCTGCTTTGTACTAGTCCGGACTGATGCCGATTTATAGTGCTAGCCCACTGAGATACCATGCCGCAGTTTAACATGAATACCTCACTCAGACACAGTATACTGACTCCGAGCCGACCAGTCCTTGTTTTAGCCCCTTATGCCGAGCGCCAGACAGGGTAACAACAAGTACCATCTTTTAACGTCTTTTGGTATGACGCGGCCAGGGATCGAACCCCGAACCTTCCGCTCTCCGGGCGGACGCTCTACCACTAGACCACGGAGGCGGTCGGCAGTTAATGGAAGAGCTCGGGCTTCTGCAATTGATAATGCCCTGAAAAATAGCGTTACCCTTACAATAGCCACTGGTGGATCGAGCCTGGAAATTCCAGCTTAGAGTGGAAACAGGACTTTTATAGTCAGTTAACTCCCTTGCCTTGGGTAGATGCTATGCTTGGTCAGGGTCGGTGTCTTGGGTGATTACGTGTCATGCTTACAAGGTCAACCATTGGTTTATCTGGCCCAGATACTGGAAGATTGTAAACAATATTCTCTCACTCACTGACGCATGTGACCGTAGTACCTATGCGTAAATAAGCATTTACGTATTAACATACTAGATACATATATCAGTATTTTTGGCATGCATGTAATATTTCGATATTCATTTTACCGTGACCAAACTGGTGACGGCGATGCTTCAATGGAACATACCAATAATCAATGTTGGCCCTGGGAGACTCCTGTCTCTATTAGCCGCAGTTCGTTGTGCAGAATTACGCCCCTTAGCCGTGTCAGGAACCTACGATCGTGGATTCGCCTGATTATGTTTCTAGGTTTATGTTTAAGCGGGGGACAGGTGGCCCAGTCGTCTAAGGCGCCGCGATTCGCTGTGCAGAGTTGCGTCCGTTTGGCACACCAGAAACGTATGATTGTGGGTTCGAATCCCGGTTTGCACCGATTATGTTTCTAGGTTTGTCAGCACCATACCCGTGCTCGTGGGTTTCACCGAAGTGGCCAAACGTCTGAGACCTGCATCACCTCGGGGGTTTTCCTCCCACATTAAGCTGCCACGCCGCGATATAACTGGAACACTGTTAAAAGCGGCGTTAAACCCAATTCACTCACCTGTGCTCGTGGGTTTAACCAAAATGGTAAACGCCTGACACATGCAACGCTTTGGGCCTGCCTCTCACGTCAAGCTGACTCTCCGTGATATTACTTGAATAACTCTCAAAGCAGCGTTAACGCAAACTCATTCACTCACTGGTCGCATTGCGATCGTACAATAGATGTTGGTATTCCATTTATATGAGACGACGACCACTAACCATCATCTTAGGGATGCAGACAACAATAGGAAGAGCTATGTCTCTGTTCTTTCGCGAATTGTTCTTGGATACAGCAGCGGGAATAGCTCGACGACTGTATCCTTTGTGTCATTTTATAGTCAGTTAACGCCTTTGCCTTGGATTGGTTGGTTGGTTGGTTTGTTGTTTAACGCCGCACTCAGCAATATTCCAGCTATATGACGGCGGACTGTAAATAATCGAGTCTGGAACAGACAATCCAGTGACTGATATCATGAGCATCGATCCACCCAATTGGGATCGATGACATGCATCAACCAAGTCAGCGAGCCTGACCACCCAATCCCGCCAGTCGCCTCTTACGACAACCAATGTCGCCTTTTACGGCAAGAATTGGTTGCTGAAGACCTATTCTACCCCGGAAGATGCAAGCATAGTGGAACATCGATCTATGTAAATCTCATTATTATACTATAAATCTACGATCACAGTATGCCACAACAATACTGATGTATATTGACGAGCGACATGTATCAAATTTAATAATCATGAGAAAAGCGTGCTTTCTTACATTAATAAATATGTTCATGAGAACAAAATAAACAATATATTTTCATGTAAAAACATGCCATATTATTTGAAACATTTATTCAGAAGAAAAACATTTGATATTATTACGAAAGATATTCATGAGAAAAATGTGCCATATTATTAAAATATATATTCATAAGAAAAATGTGCCATATTATTAAAATATATATTCATAAGAAAAACGTTCTGTATTATTCATAAAAAATAATAACGTTCAATATGATACACTCAGAACATACTTTCTTGTGTGATTGTTGGCGTTATATAAGTGTGTATTATTTTGGTCGAAACATCCGTTAATCTAAAAATATAACTAGTCGTAAGGACAACTTCATGTTTGACACCAAAATGGTAACAATTTCTGAAAGGGTTTTGAAAGAGACATATCCTCAAAGCAAGATTTGATTTCCCGACAAATATAACCTCAAGAGTGTGGTACAAATCGCCAAGAGAAGTACACATAAAATTCTTGATCATGCTAACGTTTCATTATAGGTTGATGTAGGGTAGCCTAGTGACTAAAGTGTTGGCTCGCCAAGAGGAAAAATTGGTTCGATCCCCAAATGGGTGCAACGAGTGAAGCACTTTCTTGGCGTTCCCCGCTGTGTCAGGGCAAGACTTCCGTGGTCCAGTGGTAGAGCGTCTGCCCGTCATACCAAAGATGTTAAAAGACGGTATTTGTTGTTACCCTGCCTGGCGCTCGGCATTAAGGGGTTAAAACAAGGACTGGTCGGCTTGGAGTCAGTATACAGTGTTTGAGTGGGGTAATAATGTTAAACTGTAGCATGGTATCTCTGTGACCTAGTACTATAAAATCGGCATTAGTCCGGACTAGTACAAGCAGCCACACACACACACACACACACACAGAGGCTCACGTGCACACGTGTATGCCTGTCGCTATATAAGAACGCGACTTTAAACCCATTTCAACTCATTGCCGGAATATTGCTTAGAGCGCGTAAAACAATACTTACTATTAATGTAATCAATAACGATCATTGGATCATTCTCGGGGATTAAAATTGGTTTAATTCTGTACACGATGCGTCTTATAACACGAAGCTGGATATATTGAATATTATTTCTTCGTGTACAGAATCAAACCAATTTTAATCCCCGAGAATATATATAAGTGCACACGCACAAGCACCTGTTGACCGCCAGAGCCCTCACTGAAGTACGTGGGTTCATGGAGAGAAACAAATAGTCACATGTAATAGCAATTACGGATGTTAATTGCGATCATGCCATGTTATTTTAAGAAATCAACAATAGTCCTCCATGTGCTTCATTTGAAATGAGTATTCAATGTTTACAGATAGTAAATAATACATATGTTTTCGACCTCGATACTAAAGTTAAAGGACTTTCGGTTCGCATGTAAACAAACGACCAAAATTGCACTTGAAAAGTTTCCCATAAAAACGTATATGTCACGGGTTTAAAAAACTAAAATCTTTTGGAGTATTTTCTTCAACTTTTCAAGCCATCCTTCGTGTGATTGGCTGATTGCAAATTCCCCCCTATCTGATGATTTGCGCATGGCTGTCGACAGTGTATGTACACCACGCGTTGGGTTCGTCATGTTTACTCTTAAGCCGTGGTCTCCATTCGTGGCTCAGTCAAGGAAGAAAGAAGTTCCTCAAAGCTACACACCACACAAGTGATAATACCAACAAGGCGGGGTAGCCAGGTATACTATATATACTACACGTCCTCCGAGACTTAGCACTCCCCTACTAACACACATCGGTCGGTGCCCGTCAGCGCTTCAACGGTAAGGTTAGCATGTGTTATGTCAAGTATTGTACAACCCTGATCAGCAGGAGTGAGTGAACGAGGCTCTAATGCCTCTCGGTAGCATCTCATCACCACTGATCACGATTTTGTTGGTGTACACGATTTTTCTAAAAACTATTATTGTAGAATTTTTGTGTTTTTTCTTTCAAATTATGGTTCATTTTTAATATACTTGTATATAATTTACAATTGAGCTTTTTCGTCTGGTTATTGGTTTCTCAAATAATGGTAATATTCTTATTCAAAAACTAAGGTTAAGGGAAAACAAATTTATTAATTCTCTAATTTGTTTCATTTGTGGCCAATTTCTATTATATTCAAACAGTGTTTCGTCTTGGGATTCTAAATCCACACTCTGGAAAGGGCGTCGTAGGTTGGACGCTTGACCAATACATTTGACCATTAAATGTCAATGTAACGTTTTTAAAACAGAACGTTTAATTTGCAGAATAGAATTTTTTTTATCATAAAAACCATGCTCCAATTGTTTTCTAATTGATTTTCCGATAAACAGTGTACAAAATATATCTGAATATAGTTTACCCTTGGGTATGTTACAGATTAAATTCATTTATGATCTATGTTGTTGCAACCACAGTATACATTTTATCAACATCCTCAAAGATGTACATAATGTTGATATTTCATATAAGAAATAAACGATTCGTGGTCGTTGTTTATCGTACAATAAAACACTGAGGGAGAATAGACCACTGAGGGCTGCGCCTCTATGGTTTATTCTCCCTGCAGTGTTTTATTGTACGATAAACAACTCCCACTCGTCGTTTATTTCTAAAATAAACAGAATACAACATACAGAATATATCTGAATATAGTTTACCCTTTAGTAAAGTATATGTCATAATGAGCAGTATTGCAGACCCCGTGCATGTAAGTCTTTGAGTAACCTGTGAGTAATCGTGCAGGTAAATCTGTCAGTAATCGTGCAGGTAAATCTGTCAGTAATCGTGCAGGTAAATCTGTCAGTAATCGTGCAGGTAAATATGTGAGTAATCGTGCAGGTAAATATGTGAGTAACCGTGCAGGTAAATATGTGAGTAATCGTGCAGGTAAATATGTGAGTAACCGTGCAGGTACATCTTTGAGTAACTGTGCAGGTAAATATGTGAGTAATCGTGCAGGTAAATATGTGAGTAACCGTGCAGGTCAATCTGTCAGTAATCGTGCAGGTAAATATGTGAGTAACCGTGCAGGTAAATCTGTGAGTAACTGTGCAGGTAAATCTGTGAGTAACTGTGCAGGTACATCTATGTTAAATGTGCAGGTAAATCTGTGAGTAACCGTGCAGGTAAATCAGTGAGTAACCGTGCAGGTAAATCTGTGAGAGACCGTGCAGGTACATCTGTGACTTACCGTGCAGGTAAATCTGTGAGTAACCGTGCAGGTCAATCTGTGAGTAACCGTGCAGGTAAATCTGTGAGTAACCGTGCAGGTACATCTGTGAGTAACCGTGCAGGTACATCTGTGAGTAACCGTGCAGGTACATCTGTGAGTAACCGTGCAGGTCAATCTGTGAGTAACCGTGCAGGTAAATCTGTGAGTAACCGTGCAGGTAAATCTGTGAGTAACTGTGCAGGTCAATCTGTGAGTAACCGTGCATGTAAATCTGTGAGTAACCGTGCAGGTACATCTGTGAGTAACCGTGCAGGTACATCTGTGAGTAACCGTGCAGGTCAATCTGTGAGTAACCGTGCAGGTAAATCTGTGAGTAACCGTGCAGGTAAATCTGTGAGTAACCGTGCAGGTACATCTGTGAGTAACCGTGCAGGTACATCTGTGAGTAACCGTGCAGGTACATCTGTGAGTAACCGTGCAGGTACATCTGTGAGTAACCGTGCAGGTCAATCTGTGAGTTACCTGGCCCCGACTCAGTGTGGTCAGACAGTTCCCGTTACCGCCCAAGAAAGATGGTTCCAGTTTCAGCAATACATGTGGCATTGTTCTAGATAGGTACATAACTACGGCTGTATTGCTACATCGCGGCGGCGGTGGAATATTAGTAAAACAAAAACTGATGTCCAACACTGAGGTCAAGTCGGGTTAATGTGCGTTTCCAGTTCACCTGACTTTCAATTCAAACAACAGTTCTTTGGAAATAATATTTGTAGAGATACATTATTTTAAATGACCTGCATATTTCTTAAGTGCTTTTGGATTATGAAACTAATTTCTATGCAATGTTTCAACTGTAGACACATTGCAGGTGAATGTTTTTGTCATAAAACTGTCTCGAGCTTAATTTCCCCCGAAGGGAGTTTCCAATTTTATTTGTATTCGTGTGTGTGTGTGTGTGTGTGTGTGTGTGTGTGTGTGTGTGTGGAATAATCTTTGGTACGCTAACGAACACCATCAAACATAACAAAATCTATGCATTTTACACTATTAACACATTTTTTTTACGTTTGGGTACAAATGAGTATGTTATTAATAACTTAAATTCAAGAAATTATTAAAACCTAAAATTGAAATTTCAAACAAACTATTCAATTTTTCCCCGACTACCAGAAACGATTCATTTGGGGCATATTTCTGAACAAAGTTTCCATTTAAAATAGATTCGCGCCACCCCACAGAAATCAAATGGATGCTCTCTAATTGCTGTACAAAGTATGAACGATGTTATCTAACTTTATAGAATAATTCTGTAAAGCTGTCAGTTTCCTACTTGTCAGATAATCCTTTATTAAATCAGGCGTATATGGCACGAGCTTGTTTTCCAGCATCGCAGCCACATGCATTAAGTGCATTTCCATTACGACACAATGCCAGCATTGCTCTGTAGAGCATTCCGAGGCACAAACACGGAAAAAAAACTTAGGAAACCCCACAATGTATATTTTTGCTTAGGTTTTATACTGGATAGTATTTTCCTTTTCATGACACATTTTCAAATGTCAATGTACGTCTTTCAGTGCGTCATCGCCTTGTCGGCTGAATAATGTTATATTAAAAATATCAAATTTCAAATATCTAAGTTTCCGCCGTCTCTGTACCGCTACCTTCTGTAAGTATACGCTCTCCTATACTCTACCATGTTGTTCTGAAGCAGAGGAAGTCAATTACCCTTGGGAGGGGAGGAAGGAGGTTGGGGGTTAATGGGATGTTGTCAAATAATGGGGTTAAGTAACTGTTACAGCTTTTGAAAGAATCATAAAAGATCGGTGTTTTACAATGTAAAACATACAATGCACACTACAACCTTGTTGGAGTAGCTCAGTGGTTAAAGTGATTCCTCGTCACGCGGTAAACCTGGGTTCGATTCCCATCATGGTTAAAGGTAAAAACCATTTGTTTCCGTCGTCGTTTGGTTCGAAAACTGCTCAATACGGCTTAAAACCAATGTCACAACATTGGATCTAAAATCTGAAATATATAAATCGCCATTTATTCCAATTTCTGGTAACCTTTAAATATTATTTTGTTTATAAGTTGAAGCGTAAACATTTGTCTAAAAATAGTCGCGATATGGTAATCATTATGCCTATATCTGTAAAGGTCAAGGTGACACGTGGCCCGTCATTGGAAGCCATAACACAGGGCTGCTGTGTCTGGTTTAGAACGAAGTCGGTTCCATGTCGTAAGCTCACACGACATCAATATCACAGTGGGCTAAGCACATACGTATTATATTTACCTATATGGCTCAGATAAATACTTAGTGGTTGGCAACCAGACACAACTGTTAGATAAATATTGGAGTCAGGACGTTGCAATGTGGCGGTGGTCAACCTTCGACCTTGGTGCATAGCTGACGATTTGGAAAGAAAATATTGCTATTCTGAGTCGGCCGCTACTTTTGTCCTTTATAATCGGCAAATTGTGAATAGAGGTCACGTGACTTGGATATGTTTTGTCTTGCGGTTGACATGCGACTTTTCGAAAATCTCAGCTGCCTTCCCCGTTTTCTGATGCATATGGGACTAGTTAATGGTACATTAAAACCGACAGTTAATAGTTGATTTGATTAAATTTTCAATTGACTGGTAATGTTTTAAGATTGGAGTATGTATCGACTGTAAGAAGCATTCTCCAACGACGTAGTGTGTGGGCGCGGTATTGCTTTACGCTTTTCAACATCCCGGTAACATCACGACGGGAAGTAATGGGGGGGGGGGGGGTGAAGAATCGTCTTCACATATGGTACAAATCTGGAATCGACCCAGTGTTTCGACGTGATGCGCGAACACCTTAACCACTGGGCTACCTGATCTCAACTCAACAATACACTGGTGTGGGGTAGCCTCGAGGTCAGCGCATTCATTCGGGTGGCCCAGTCGTCTAAAGCGCCGCGATTCGCTGTACAGAGTTGCGTCCCTTGGGCACGCCAGAAACCTATGATTGTGGGTTCGAATCCCGGTTTGCACCGATTATGTTTCTAGGTTTGTCAGCACCATACCCGTGCTCATGGGTTTCACCGAAGTGGTAAACGTCTGAGATCTGCATCACTTCGGGCTTTCCACCCACATTAAGCTGACACGCCGCGATATAACTGGAATACTGTTAAAAGCGGCGTTAAACCCAACTCACTCACTCACTCACTCACTCACTCACTCACCCACTCCTACGCGAGGACAATGAGAATCCGCAGTGAAATTAGAGATGGTTGATGGCATAATCTTGCCATATATCTTCCAAAGTAATAATATTCATATATTCGACAAGTTTATATAACTATTTCACCGATCAGTAATTGATGTGGATGCGCCATCTTGCTTGACAGTAATGAAAGAACGATGTTACCAAGAATACGTTAAATCACAAGGGAGGTAATTTAAACAGCACCATGACGTCAGCCTATTATGACGTAACTCAAAATGTGTACTTTATCGCAAAATTCCCCTCACCTCATAGTGTCAGTAGTGTAAATGTATAGTGTTGAAGTCCATGGGTAACATTTCAGCAGAAACCTGCTTTTAATCTCGGACAGCGATTTCCGCAACTGTCTTTCATTATCTG